TTCGTCGGGAATACAATAATAAGTGTTGAAATATAAAATTTTATAAATAAAAATAATAATGATAAAAGAGACAAAGCATCAGTGATGATAGTGACGTGTTATAATGATACGCTAGTTTAAAAATTAATAAGCGGACTGATTCGTCTGAACCAAATTGATCACAGATGTTAACAAATGACTTCGGAATCCGTCCGTGTGGGCAATATTATTAATTGAGCATGTGTCCTAAAGTCATACACGTGTGGGGTCCGAACGAGAATGGAGGCGTTCAAAAGAAGCGCACTTGGGTCCGCCCCTGATAAGCCTTTCAGTTGCGTGCGCACAGTTGGGCATATCCGGAAATATGCCCTACAATTTCCTTCCATTTCTGCCACGAGAGCGCTGAGGAACTTTTCCAGGTTTCCTGCCAGAGAGGACGAGAGGAGGTCTTGACTGGGAAGCGGTTTACTTATTGATCCCAAAATCCGCCAGTGGCGTCTCCTACAGAGTATCAGCATGTACATTTCTGCACCTCTTTTTCTTCCTTGAGTTTGTGTGTCGTATTAGCATTGTTAGGGGGTTATTTGAATGTCGTTGCATACATTTTTATGGACATTTGGGTAACCTTATTTTCTGAGTTTGAATTGAAAGGGGTATATTTTAAGGAAAGATTAGTTTTTGAGAAAAATTACTTCTTTCCTAAAAGTACATTCCATTTTCAATACAAACAAAATGTGGGAAACTTACAAAAGAAGGAGGAAAGTAGCAAAAATTAACTTTTTACATAGATAAATTTGTGTATCATGCAAAGAATTAACTTTCAGACAACTACCTTGATATAAATATTGAATTACACGAAAGAAAAAATACTTTCAAAACAATTACTCTCGTATAAACCTAGAATTATATCATTCACAGGATTGTTACACCATATATCATGGGCTGAAACACCTTCTTCCCTGAAGACTTCCGTTGTCATTCCACTACATAAAGGTGGTGATTTGGATAATCCCTCCAATCTGCGTCCTATTTCCTTAACACCAACTTTAGCAAAAATTATTGAGAAATTAGTCAAAGTACGTTTAGATGAATTCTCAAAACTGCACTGTATTATAAGCAAAAACCAGTTTGAGTTTCAATATCCCCCGGATATCCCCCGTAAGAGTGCCGTGCAATACTACAGATTTCTAGAAAGAACCGTTACCTATATAAGTCCGGCTTCCCTACCCAAGAGGGAGTTTAGAAAGTGAATCGAGCGGCTAAACAAAAAATTCAAATAGTGGAAATAAATTAAGCGTTAGTTGCTAAGTGTTATAAATAAATTAGATTGTGATTAGTGAAATATTGTTGGAAATAAATTTATTTAAAGCATTCATTCTTTAATTTGTTACAATATAGATTCACAAGACGATGTAAAATAAGGAATATTAAGGTCACTTGGTTTCTCACAGGACCTTCATTATAAAACTATCTGATTTTGCTTATTTTATTTCAGGATGAAAATTCTGTACAAAGTTTGATAGACGCTTGCATAACGGATGAAGACAAATTATATTTATGCGTATCTTCGCCAACAATAAAAGATAAACCAGTACAAATTCGACCGTGGAGACTCTCTGATGCAGACTTTGTCTTGGACGCGTCCATGCCTTTGGATCCCAGGAAAACTGTTTTCGTTGGAGGAGTACCACGACCATTGAAAGCTGGTAAGTTGAATATCCAATAAAAAGCCAATGACATGCAATACTGGTTCCCCCCGTTGAAATATTGTTACTTTACGTTGACGTGTCAGGTAAGCATATGCACGACTAATAACTGTGGGGTAAAGGTTGAAAAATACACTTCAAAAACATGTCGATGATTAGTTCAGTATCTTTCACTGCATTTCTATTTGAAGCAGAGGCAGGAATGACCAGATTTGTAATAAATTCAGCTTCTCAACGAAGCCGACAACTTTATATGGTGAGTGATCTTTCAGGTCAGCTGGCCCTGCACCAGAGCCTGTAGTTCTCATAGTTTATTAGACTACCTTCGTCAGGTAGGTAAGCAACACAAATGTGTGACTTGGGAGGTAGGTTGTGACGCATTTCAGGGATACTGTCTTCCATAATTGCAAGATAGTAACTGCACCCATCAGCCAGAAGACGTTATCCTGCTATTCTCAGATAACCTGTAGTCGTCCTGGCCAAAATGTGCAGCTTTGGAATTGTACTTGTGGGTCATTTCCTGGAATATACTCTACTGCGGCCATGTTGGCATACTAAAGAGATTCCAGTTGATTGATCGATATTGAAGTTGTTAGATGATACCTTAATAACCGCAGCGTAGGTGTTTGCTTACCTGCCCTGGAGTAGATTGTTTCCTCTCTTGTTCAGATTCCGCATTTTCTGCTCAATATTTTGGTGCATAGCAAATTCATTAGATATCCTCTTGCTCCTCTTGCCCTGTGACGTGGTTTCTCATGTATGTATCCACGTATTGGGTACTTGAAACGAGGTCCCGCAAGTAGGTGTTTATAAACGTCTGGATTTGGCGTTTGTATATTTCTACGCACTGGCCCCAGGCAGTTGAGGTATACAGGATGATGGGGAGTAAGATGGTCTTGATTAGAAGCAGTTTCACTTGGATATCCAAGTTACTTCTGCATCCTATAATGGAGTAGAAGTTGTGTCAAGCGGCTTTTTTCCAGCCCTAACCTCTGTTGGATATGGGACCTGAATGTTTGTTTGCTGTCGAGGGTGACTCCCAGGTGTCTTGCTTAGTTTGTCATGGAATCTTCTGTCCGTTGAAGACAACGCTTCTTTCCGGATGTACCTTCCTCCAGGTGAATAGTATCTGACTCTTGTCAGGGTTTATACTGATTTTCCAGAGGTTGGCCAACTCCTCTAGTCTGTCCACTTGTTGTTGCAGGTATACTGTAAATGACGCGTGGTTGTTGGATATCGCCAGTAGTGCTGTGTTGTCTGCTTAGAGTGCCAACTTGTTCAAGTTATTCTCCGGCTTAGCCACGTCTACTGTCTATACGGAGAAAATGTGTGGGAATAGAACTGCGCCTGCTGGAGAGTTCTTGTCTTACTCTGCATTGGCATCGTCGGTCAGCACGAATGCATTGCTGGACTCATTTGTCCTTCAAGGACGAGTCTGAGTAACTAGAGGCGATGACACAATCCCTTAAGAAGACGCCATCTATGGGATCTACAGAGAACTCAACTCACGAATATGTCAGTGAAGCTCCCCAAGACGGACAGTTGGAAATCCAAGCTTCCACATCGACAGCCGACGAGATTCGTTATTGAGTCTTCTGTCAACACGTAGTTGGTGTCTTCGTAAGGGTAGAGTCATCGCCTTTAAAACACAGTTGACAGAACTGTTGCTAATACTTTATTTAAAGATGGCTTCAGTTAACGAGCTAAAATTAATTCCAAATATTACAAATAAGTTACGACAACTTGACACGATAAATAGACGACAAGCACTAGAAAGTTTTTTACAAAAAGTACGGTTCGACGATCTATCGTAAAGTCTCTCCTAGCATTCCCCTGGCGATCGAAGATATTCTCCGCGAACTTTATCCAATGAAAAAACAAACAATGAGAAATAGCTCGCTGTGAGCGTACAATTGGAACTACAGTGTGGTCGCTTTTACCAAAGTTATTGGTATCAGTGATTATTTGTTCGAATTTTTTTTTTCATCTATATTGTGTATGGATATGCAATCTCTGTCATGTACATAACATCATTTTCAATCCTTATTGCATATACAAGTTTCATCTTTCTCTTGAAGATGATCACTTGGTGATCGAAACACGTGTCGAGGTGTTAAAAATAACGATTTGGTGTTGGGAAAAAACTCCAGTAATATTCATTGCTACACCAAATGTTCCAAACAAGCCGATAGTTGGTGTAAAAAATACTAGTGTTATATATTTTCAGACGGTGCGGGATGGACTCGTGTCCACGTCATTTCTCAATGAGTTTAATAGAAAATCTTCCAACAAATCGAACACAATATGTTCCACTAAATAATGTTTCTCCTTCACTATCGAGAAGATACGGAATTCCACAAGGTTCCATTCTTGGTCTTTGCTGTTCTTAATCTACATCTCCATCATTATATTCATCAACAACCATTTTCAACATTAATATGTACTGGTTGTTATATTAATAATTAAATGAAGAATAAAAGAAGCTCCGCAAAACTGAATTGTTATATCATACATAGTTATTGTATAAATAATGTTATCTTCGCTTCAAAAGGTTTTTAATTTTGAATAATATTAAAAACATGAAAGAAAAAATCGTCAAAATCAGAGGACTTCCGAAAACTACTTGTTTTACTTATTCATTGGCTATGCTAACCTCTAGATAGGTGACCAACTCCAATATAAGTACATTTAATATTTGCGGACATTTATGATTGCACGTTTCATGATACAAAAAATCCAAGGCAAGGAACGTCAACCAGAATTAAAACATAATTTAATCGGCATGGAAACGTCAAACTAATATGCTATTCCTCCATTTCAGTGTCGACTCTTCAATTTATGTTGCCATGATGTGTTATTGGCAGCTCGTTAACTTCTAGGTCGAAGTGATTTGTACAATTGTTTTGTTTGGGCGTGTGAATAAGTTTGCATGAAAACGTATTCATAGTCAGTGGTGATAATCTGCTAACAATTCAATATTAGTCCAACTGGCGTTTTTGCTAACCTGTCACTTTCTTCCAAATTTCACACATTTCGAAAATTTGTACTAGTTTGTACATGTCCCTTGCTCAATGTATATCATATTCATCTGGACACAATTTTGGTTGTCCATATATTGTTTGTGCCTCTTGTGATCCAAGAGCGTCGCCAGCTGATGACTAAGGTGGGGGGCAATGGGGCAATATTATGGAGGATAAAAGATATGAACGCCTGGTACAGTCGAAAGCATGAAGCGTTGCATTTTGGAAGTCTTTGCCTCGATGACGATTGTACTAAGAACGGTTCTGATATCAATGTATAAAACTTCACAAGCCCTCAACAGCACAATAACTAAATCAAACTTTTAAACACAGTCATAATTATTTATTTTAACAAAAATAATATTTAATTAAAACATAACCTGCGGGGATTTTTGCAAAACTTTCAACCACTTTATCATTGAAATTATTTAGGTTTTTATTTATTATAGCTCTGTGTACACTCATCATGGCCAGACCATGACCAGATCTTCTTAGCCATGTTTTCAGTCTTCTGAGGCTACTAAAGGATCGCTCTACTGTACAGGTCGTGCATGGTAAAGCGATCAGAATTTTGAATGCTTTTTTCGTTTCGGGAAAGAAGAAATTTGTTTCTTTTAGGACATCAATAACTGTGCCATCGTGTGCTATCCTGCCACAATTACTGCCAAAGTTCGCGCCGGGTGTAACTTAGATAATGCGAATGATGGCGTGTTTTCTTGAGCAAAACGTAGTTCAAGGGAGGTGATAATTGAATCAAAGTATGGTATTACTAAAGACCTCTTCCAGTATTCTGAAGGGCTTTCTGCTGGATGATTGCTTTTATGACGTTGTTTCCCCGTAATACGCGGCATTGATGTAATGTCCTCCTCCAGTCCGACTTTCTCCGCAACAGCACTAGCTTTCTTTATAATTTCGTCTGTCACTTTTTCCGGATTTTCACGGTGGTTTTTAATTAAAAGTAAAATCGTTTTTACGTGTTCCTAAGGTTTGACCACATCCAAAGCTACATATTGGAGTACGTTGACAACGGGTTCCATCAAAGCCGAGTATTTGGCTACCAACATAATCCCCAGAATGAAAGAAATTCTGGAAGTAGCCGCATGCAGTTGGAAGTCACTTTTCCGAGTTGCACTATTTCCTTCCTGAGATAATGTTTTTAAGGCTTCCAGAATTATTGGAAGATTCTCTTTAAAAACTCAGATGGTTTTGTGTTTCTGACTCCATATTGTCTCGCAAAGCCTGGAAATAGTAGGCATCAACGTCCTCCTCAAAACTGATTCTCAAAAAAAGTGTATAGTATCTTTGGTGGTTCCCATGGCATTTCTGATTTCAGGAAGTGAATTTAGATCATTGTTCGACATGATTGTGCCAAGACATGTTGGTGTCCATTTTAACCCTCAACAAACTTATCGAAGCAGAAAGCGGAAATGTCTATCCTGACATTATACATTAATTAAACCTGGGTACTTTCACCCAAATTCGAAATCACTCCTAGATCCTCATTAAGATATACAACCTCCTGCTGCCGGTGAAGATGTGCATCCACAGCCGATGTCCTGGAATCCAAATGGAATATCGAGACAAGAATGATGTCGTTAGCAAAGCAAATATTGTATTATTGGTTTTTTCCAATAAGTCGTTGATATACAATAGAAAGAGGGTTGGAGACCATATGGATCCCTGGGGAACACCAGCGTTGATGGTAAAAGTATTTGAGAGATATCCGTCCATTCCACACTCACAGCCAACCAAACTCATTGATGAAGAGGGTAATATTGGTGTTTTAACTCGCCCCAAAATATGTCTAATACAGGAGTTTTGTACTTTTTGTATTCGGGGGGATGTTTAGAGAGCAGGGGCCATAGACAGTATCACAGACAAAATAATCGCATTGCATGGGGTTATCTTCAATTGTATGCTAAGGTAGTGCAACTGAAAGTGTAAGTTTTTCAGTAAACATATGTGCATCTGATTAGCTAA